TCAAAATGGAATAAAAAATAGTTTTCTGGAAGGTTAAACTCGTATTCTCTCTGAAACGCACAGAAATACAGAGAGGTACGGCTATGATGGCTGTGAATACAGGAGAGACATGGTATGAAGGGGAACAGAGGATCGAAGAAACAGTTACATCGATGAATAATAATCAGAGAAAATCGAGCAGTTCCATCGAATGAACAAATCTGATAAGTAGGAAAGCACATACAACGTCCGATTTCAATACCAACAACTGAAGATAACACTCTGACTCAGCTGTGGGAAGACAGCTATTCAGCATGATTTCTTCATGACTATGTCTAAATTGAAATAGAATACGTAAGATAAGGTACATGAACAATCCAAAGATCTCCGTTTGAGGTGGAAAGCCAATCTCTTGCGTGTGTAGAAGAACAAGGTATTACTTGGAAACTCGAAGTAACAAGTAAATAAGACGAGAACGATAAATTCAAAACAGTTTATTGGAATCAAAAAACCGAAAAACAACAACAACCTGCAAACTCTTCCGCGGCCTCTGAGGAACCTAGACCAGGCCGCTGAGACTCCCCTGGAGTGTTCTTAGTCTAGGCTCCGGCCCTTTTCCCTACAAACCAACAATCTGGTCCGCTGTTTTGTTCTACACCAGGTTGAAACGGACAGCACGGTAAGAAGGTCTGTAGCCTTCAGGCGTCGGTAGCACTGGGAGAGATGGGAAAGGGGTATCTTCTTCCATCGTCGTCGGTCTTATCCTCCATCACACACAAGCAGATTACTCTCCTTCCTGTAATCTAGAAAGACAATTAACATTTGCTCAAGCACTTAGTTCTCACCTGCTACTCTTTCACTTGCTTGGATAGGTTCAGGACAAGGAATCAGTGAATACTCTTTGAGAACCTAAATGAGAGATTATGTAAAGTTAGATCTTGAAGATAATGACTTACGTTTGAATTCCAAGTCCCAGAACTCTCTTAGACCTCTTTGCTACAAGATCTTCACAGTTCGAAACTTTGTTTCAGATTAGAAAGTTCTCGTGAATCAGCAGTGTTATCGGCAACTGGAACACGCTGTAAATACAATGAAACGGGCTCACTATTCAATCCACTTCCATGGCTTACAGAGAAAGACTTGGAAGAACGACTTGAAACCAACTAGAACTTTCACAATCTATATTCCTACATCAGCCTCTTAACGCATTACTACTTATTCAGATGGTGGGTGGGGACGTCATCAACATTAAGCTTAGGAAAATGTCTGCGTGTCACTATCCCCTTCCAGCTATATTCTTTCGAACTCAATGGAACAGTTCTTATACCACAGCTTGCAGGAGAAGTTATTCGACAAACGAAAACTTACGCAAGATGGCATAAACTCTTGAATGGTCCTTAATCCTCAAAACATAGTAATCGAATTCGAGATGAGAAACTTTTATTTCTCTCTTAGCAGCATAGTGTGCCAGGGGCCATTGAGCAAACTCATCAGTGCTGGGAATGAAACAACTATCTTTTTCAGTCTTGACTTCCCTGAACGGATTATTCAATATATAATTTTCTTTCAACTAATTCCTGGAATGAGACAAACATGAGTATTGAGACTGTGACTTACCACGACAATCCTACCCGAAGGAACACATTTGAGCTAGCAATAAATGAAGAAAACAATAGGCGATTCATTTCTATTATTATTTTATAGCTGAGACGAATGAGATACTCTTAACAGCATCTTTGCCTTTATCAGGAACTTCTATGGCCAAACATCCTTCAGGTGAGATAGCTGATGGCTGTGAGAACACCATCCTCTGGTAACGTCCAGCGACGAGCAAATCTTCTTTGGAAGTAGTTGTTATTATCCCTTTTCGAGTCTGCCTTCAATAAAGAGAACACAACTGTCTGTAATCAGAACGAATTAGAGAACAAAAACTATGTTACGAACTTACTCCTTTCAAATCATTTTCGTTACCGTTGTACGATCATGTACGAATGAAGTGTATCAACGATCATAGTTCGTCTGCAAGCAAGAATGGATAACCGAGTGTATACAACGAGAACATTGGAATATCAGCATAGAAAGAAAGAAATAAACACAAGAACCGATTATCATTGTTTCACAAAGAGGACATCGAAACGTTATGAGGAATAAGTTGAAACTGACTGAGCAAAA